CCAGAGGCAGACAGACACCCGGAGACGGAGGGCCCGGCAGAGCCCGGAACACGCGCGCGCTCGCTCTCCACACTCACAGGCGCGCACAGAAGCGGGGCCGGGCAGAGGCCGGGCTCCAGGTGGGAGCCACAGAGCCAGGGGCCGGAGGGGAGGGGCGCAGGCAGCCAGACGGGGGGCCTGGGATGTGGGGGAACATTCTGGACTCAAGGCCAAGGGGCTGGAGACCTGGCGGGGACCCAGAGAGCCAGTGGCAGTGGGCACGGGGCCAGGAGGAGGGCCCAGGAGGCCGGCGCTGGCGGCTCTCACGTGGGCCACCCGGGGGAGTTGCTGTGGAAGGAGCGGGAGGCAGCCCGGGGACGGAGGCGTGGCGGGCAAAGGACCGGAGCCCCAGCCCTGCCCGGGGCCTCTCCCTCTGCCAGGACTCAAGGAAGGATCTGGAATGGAATGGGCGGTGGGGTGGTGCAGGCCATCTTGCTGCCAGGAGGGGGCAGGAGACAAGGCTGGCCCTGCCACCGGGCAGTGCTGGGCATTGCCCCCCGAGTCAGGGGCTTGTTCCCCCTATATCTGTGCACCCACCACGACGCCCTCCCCTCCCAACGTGGCTGGGGAAGGGGCGGGCACTTCCAGGCCACCCTGGCAGCTAGCACCAGGCCCCCGCCTTATTCCTGGTTCATCGCCTTGGCCGAGAAGAGTCAGGACGCCCAACCTTGACCGCTGTTGCCCCTTCTAATTCAAAGCTTCCCGTTGGGTGCCCCCCAGTAGTCCCCTCGCCACACCCTGCCATGCCCCTGTGGCTGCCTTCTCCCATCCACCCTGACCCTCTCAGGTGCCAGCCTCAACTGCACGCCCTCCTGTGCCCCATCACCCCGTTTTCTGTACCCACCCTGTCCTAAGGCCACCTCCCCTCATCTCCTTTTCCCCAGGACCTCCCAGACTGTCCTCTCACCCCAGCTCTGAAACCCCCAGCCCCCGCCCGCAGGTGCGCCCACCTTCAAGAGGCCCTGGCTGACTGGACCCTCCACCCACCTTGGCC